AAAGGAATGGGATGATATATTTAAAATACTAAAAGACAGAGATTGTCAGCCAAGAATACTCTACCCTGCGAGGCTATCCTTCCGAAATGAAGGGCAAATAGTACATTTCTCAGACAAACAAAAGCTGCAGGAGTTCACCACCACACGACCACCCTTACAAGGAATTCTCAAGGGAGTACAGCCACTGCCATAAAAACCCAAGAAAAATCAAAACCCACTAGTATAATAAAAATGGCATTCATGAAGAGAAAACAAACAAAAAGGCTATCTATAACCTAAGGAACCAACAAACACAGAAAACAAACAGTAAATCAGAAAGCAAGGAACAAAAGACACCTAAGACAACCAAACAATAATCAATAAAATGCTAGGAATAAATCAACACCTTTCAATCAATAACAACTCTTAATGTAAAGGGTTTAAATTCCCCAATCAAAAGACACAGATTGGCTGACTGGATTAGAAAGGTGGACCCAACTATATGCTGCCTACAAGAGACCCACCTCACCCATAAAGACTCACATAGACTAAGAGTGAAAGGATGGAAAAAGATCTTCCATGCAAACAGAAAAGAAAAACGAGCTGGAGTAGCTATTCTTATATCTGACAAAATTGACTTTAAACTAAAAACCATAAAAAGAGATAATGAGGGTCACTACATAATGATAAAAGGACTGATCTATCAAGAAGACATAACAATCATAAATATATATGCACCCAATGTTGGAGCAGCCAGATTTATAAAACAACCTCTATTAGACCTAAAGAAGGAAATAGACACTAATATCATAATAGCAGGGGACCTGAACACCCCACTCTCAATATTGGACAGAACATCTAGGCAAAAGAATCAGCAGAGAAACATAAGATCTTAACAATACTCTAGACCAATTGGACTTGGCAGATATCTATAGAACATTCCAGCCAACAACCTCAGAATATTCATTTTTCTCATCAGCACATGGATCATTCTCCAGGATAGATCACATACTAGGTCACAAATCAAGTCTCAACAAATTCAAAAAAATCGGAATTATCCCATGTATTTTCTCAGACCACAATGGACTAAAATTAGAAATCAATAACAAGGGCCAGCCCGGTGGCGCACTGCTACAGTTCGCCGCTTGGGAGGATCCCACATACAGACCGGTTCCCGCTCACTGGCTGAGCGAGGTGCGGGCGCGACACCAAGGGTTGCGATCCCGTTGCGGGTCCCGGTCCGGTACGGGCACGACACTGAGGGTTGCGATCCGTTGCCGGACACGAAAAAAGACAAAATGGAAAAAAAAAAAGAAAGAAATCAATAACAAACGAAATTCTGGAAACTATACAAACACATGGAAATTAAACAGCATTCTACTTAATGACATATGAGTCCAAGAAGAAAGCAAGCAGGAAATCAAAAAATTTATTGAAACTAATGGAAATAATGATACATCATACCAAAACCTGTGGAATACTGCAAAAGCAGTATTTAGGGGGAAATTTATTGCATTAAATGCTTACCTCAGAAGAATGGAGGGGCCGGCCCGGTGGCGCACTGCTACAGTGCGCCGCTTGGGAAGCACAGCGGCGCTCCCGCCGAGGGTTCGGATCCCACATACAGACCAGCCGCTCACTGGCTGAGCGAGGTGCGGGTGCAACACCGAAGGTTGCAATCCCGTTGCCGGTCCCGGTCCGGTACGGGCGCGACACTGAGGGTTGCGATCCGTTGCCGGTCACGAAAAAAGACAAAAAGGAAAAAAAAAAAGAAGAAGAATGGAAAGATGGCGAGTGAATAACCTAACACTTCACCTTAAAGAAAGGGGAAGAGACTGCCTCTTTAGCAAATGGTGGTGGGAGAACTGGATATCAATATGCAGGAGAATAAAACTAGACCTATACCTTTCACCATACACTAAAGTCAACTCAAAATGGATTAAAGAATTAAATATACACCCTGAAACAATAAAACTTCTTAAGGAAAACATAGGAGAAACACTTCAGGAAATAGGACTGTACACAGATTTCATGAATATGACCCCAAAAGCACGAGCAACCAAAGGAAAAGTAAACAAATGGGATTATATCAAACTAAAGAGCTTCTGCACAGCAAAAGAAACAATTAACAG